ATCTCCCCACTCAATTTCCCAAACAAAAAACAAACTCTGAAAATTACTTGCATATTAAAACACTAGAGAGAAACACAGGAAGCATTATGAATTTTACTCAAAGGACCTACATTTATAATCAATCTCAAACTATCTCCAATGGGAATTTACCCAAGTCAGTATCAACTAATCTTATGGACACTGTTTTTTTTTCCTTTTTTTTCCCCCCCTCCTCCATTTGAGCTGTTGAAGATAAAAGACCAAATTAATCAGTTTTATTTTTCTTCATACAATAAATCAATAAGCTAGCACTTCTGTAGCATCTTTATTAACAGACCATCTGTGCTTGTTATAACTGAAGTTTAAAATTTGCAAGATCTTATCCAGATTCCTCAGTAATTAAAGAGCATATTTTCCCCTGTTGGAAATAATTGCTCAAGAAAATACAGAAGAATAATTAGGAAAATAAAGTGATTTGCCTTAGAACTCATCTGGTCTAGCTCCTTTTCCATTATTGCCTTCCACTAGAGCTGGGGAGCCACCTCCCAGTGATGCACTCAGTGACATCCGCACCGCTACATGCCTGGCAGTGTCACAGCCAAGAGCTCTGTACACACTGGCATAGAAGGAGGGACTGAAGAGTTGCAGACAAGACTACAGAGATACTCTAAAAGAGATACTTCACAGTTTGATAGGATCCTGGATCCTATCAAAGCTAACGCTTTGATTAAAAAGTAGAGAGAATGCATGTATTACCAGCAACTTTATTCTGAATTTTATTCTTCCTTACTCTTAAAAGATATTTTTAGAATGACACAAACATTTTTCAGGAACAGTCTCTTGGAGACTACAAAGCAGTGCTATCACCTTTTCCAGCAGAGAAGTTTATTCTAATGCCAGAGAGGGCCATACACGACAGCCTCTCGCTTCACCTAGCCACCAGCCTCCCCACGCACACAAAGTGCAATTAGCGCATACATCTCATGCTTCACATTCTTTCGAAGTGCAGCCGCCAACAGTGTTGCTTACAAAAACTTGTCCGTGCTGCTCCCAAAAAATACTCGGGAAAGAAAGCAAAGTGGGCGAAGAAGTTGCCTGTATGAGTTGTTCTCGCAGGTCACGCAAGACCCATGGCCCATATGTTGGGAACTCTGGTATCAAACAACAAGACCACCACCACAAACTCCTATCTTCAATTCTTCTCTTCAACATGTACTTCTCTGATTTACAAGACACTGGCAGTCACAACTAAGTTCTCTGAAGAGCTGGTAAGCTATGCTACAAATTAATCACAAATTTGTTCTTTAACTGTCTTAAGAATGGCCCACGCTACTTAGGCTCTGTGACATTAGAACGCTAAAATAACCAACAAAACTCCCCTCTCTTTACGGCAGATAACATCCCAATAGTTCAGAAAAATAAAGCAAAAGATTCCTCCTGAGATTACTAACTTTGTGAAAGCTGTATTTAAAAAGAAATAATAAAAAGTGATGCCTACATATTTAAGGAGTAACCAAAAAACTTGCTTTTGAACAGTATGTTACTTCAAATCATTTCAGAAATTTCAGTAACATTTTTACCTGGAGGTCCTGTGATATTTCAGCTGTAGGAGGTGGTGGATATTCTTCACATACAGCAAGGCTCCGAACTAACTTTAACTTTGTGTTTGACTAAAGGAAAGTATGTATAATTAAAAACTCTGGCTTTAAAATAGATACCTTAAGCTACTGCTTTGCATATTAACTTATGCAAAACAAATTGGCTGAAAACTGCATTTTAATATTTAAAATAGCATTAGGAATTTTCTGTCTGAAGAAAAAACCCAAACAATTGCAGCTCTTGAAGGCACTGTCAGCACAATAGAGCACAGCTAATGACAAGTAAATAAACTCTTTGGAAAAAAAAGAGTTTCTCTCCATAACAATAAAAAGCGACCAAAAAATACAAAGGCAAACCACAAAAGCAGACAACTAAGCAAGGCAAAAATACAACAGAGCAAAACAAAGCTGCATTGCCAAAAATAAATGATAAAACTAAAGGCACTTTTCACAAAGTAACAAGGCTTCACCAAGCTCAAAGGACTTCCTCAGCATGCTAGCACACGAGTCGACTGTACCTTTGATCTTTTGGCTGTCTGTCCAAAAGACTGCACTGGCCGCTGAATGATAGGCACAACAAAAAAGGTTTATATTAAACTTCACAGTTCAATTTTATTAATGCAAAAGTCTATATAACAGAGAATGTTGTAATAATTACTACCAACATGATGGTCATATCTGTGAAATGAGCAAGAGGTACCTTCAGCTGAGAACTACATGCTTTTCCCCCCCCATTTTCACTGTGTGAAATCCTTGATCTTTCTTCATTTATCAACAACAGATATTACAGAAATTGAACATGAAGCAACCATTCTTGTTTGGTTTTGTCTAGTAGACAGCTGACTCTTAGCCAGCTCCTGTATTTGAAATTCTTATGCCCCAATTTCCTTTGCAACATGACACTTTTATAGATTTGCTTCCAGTTCATGAAGCTATGTGCAAAAATGATTACATGAAAAAAGACATTGCATTGACAAGGGGAACAGATAGTGGCCTAGCATAACAGCAGTGAAAAAATACATTCCCTTCTCTCCCTCTCTCCCTAAACACTGACTTTAAAAAGGGCCAGCTAATGGTCAAAACTTTTTGGGACTCCAATGTACTTGACAAAATTACCACCCTATAGCATTTATTCTCCTGCTTATAAAAATGCAAAAGAAAATCCAATATGATCTTTTTCATATTTCTACCTATATACTACTTCATACATTTTCGTTAGCTTTCCTCCCACTCCCTTTAATAAAATGTTACACACATCTACTTACCACTATCTCTTGCTGGCTGGCTATACCAGCCAGCTCCATTACCTCTCCATTTAGGCAGCTGCCAGCTGTCTGTTCTAAACACCCAACCTAAAGTGAAGAGTTTCAGCAAGCCAGGGCAGAATAATAGTTATTTCTCTCATTTCCCTCAAGTCTCAAATGTCTTTTTTGGATACTGCTCCAGCTAAGCTGAAGAACAGCAGAAAGAAAGCTCATTTAAATACTCCCTATTTCACTACTGCACAAGATTTTAACAAAGCAGAACTGAAGATTAACTGATCTGGTCATCAGTTTTCTAACTGAAGCTTGCTGAAGTTTTGAGCAACAAAGACCTCTCCAACTGTTCTCAAACTTGGAGCAAGACAGAGCATTTGTGTCTTGTTGACAACAGCAAAACATTTCCCCCCTCCAGTCATCTATTCTGCAAGCAGACATTGTATATGGAAAACTGGCAGCTTACACACCCTTGGCAGTTTCTATTAGACCAAGTTATTCAACTTTCAAGAACTGAACCATTTCCCAGCCTCTCTCAATTACTCTAGCATCAATCATCTTAGCTTGCTTCAAACTAAGCAGTCTAATCATAAAAAGAGAAAAAAAAAAAAAAATGGGCAATACTAGTACAGTCTTCGGTTCACTGTCTAAACAGGCCAGTGTTGTTTCCATTATGACAACTGTTACTAATCAATTTCATTTACTTTTAGATGAATGATGACCAAAAACTACCCAGCACATACCTCATTTTACTTCAGTAAAGTCTCCTGAATCTATTGCAGCCAGATATCAAAGTATATCTTATTATGCCAGATAAAGTGAAGCATGCATCTCAAAATATAATTGATATATTAAAACTCAAGTGAATCTAGTTCATTTTGCAAGAAGGTTTAAAACAAACGCCACTTTCAGATTTCAACCACAACAACACAACCTTGGTAGTACATTCCTTTATAATGTTTCATCCATGCTATACCCCATCTTCCATTTGGATACACAATTCCAGTTTTGTTTCCAGGTTGAAAAGCCAACCTAGCTGATACTACTGCTACTAAATATGTTGCATTTCGCACTTAACAATGGGTATTTGCAACATTTAAGGAAAGAGTTAAAGCATCACATGTATTCAGGGCAGTCAACTAAGGTATTTCAATACTAGGCAACTATATTTCTTGAGTGCCTGGCAGTTTTTAGGAACCTCATACAACATCAGTGGCCATGGGGAGAGCTGGGAGGCTGAAGAACACAGTAGGAGAAAAGATTCTCCCATGTCTGATATGTATCAAACCTGAGTTACACACAAGGTAAAAACCTTCCCAAACATTGTAACTAGCAAAGAACTTCAATTTTTCATGCCCTGAAAAGCTACTAATATTAGTTCTTTGACAGACCCAAGCTCCTTGTTTTCTTAACAACTGGATGACTTTAAGGATGGCAAAAATGGAACTTTAGGCCCTCTAAACCAGCTGTAATTTGGAAGATAAACCCCAATGTCCATTACGGAGAGGTAAAAAATGCTGGACTGGATCCGGTACAGGCAGGTAAAGCTGACAGACTGACTAAAGAGAGGTCACGCACACCACAGCAAAGTCAACAGTGAGAAGGGTTTGCAGGAAGGAACTGCATATAGCTCTGAAGCACTGTTCGGTTGTTTCAGAGCACAGGCAGGATAGCCCTGAACCAAGAACATTGTAAGGACTTGCGAGTTTTTTTGTTGTTGTTGTTTGCTTGTTTTTTACCACTCTGTTAAATTAGATCTGTTCAAGTAGGTCTCAAAATACAGTTAAAGGATAACAACTATAGCTTTGTAACACAGCAGACAAGAACTGCTGTGGGAAAGTCAATTGAGGAGTACAAAAAGCAAAGAAAGACTTGTGCTAATACAGAGAGAAGAAATGAGTGTAGTCTTCTAGCTGCTCAGGAAAAAAAGTCAGTTTAATTCCTCCGAAGGACTAAGATATCTGCTTAATTATCACAAAACCAAACCAGAATAATATGCACTCAGTACAGCGTTTGCCTTGCCTATACGTTACATACAACAGGTATGTAGAGTCTTGTGTTCACAGATCTTGTGTGACTTTTTTCTGCTCTCCACAGCTTGCAGATATGCAGCAATATGCAGCTTTCTTTCTCCTAATCTTTTACTGCTTTGACAATTATTATCCCATTGAGGATCTCATATTCACTTAGCAGCTTTTTTTACAGCAGAGATGTCTTGAGTACTTAAGCTCCCTGTCCTCCTTCAATGTAGTGCATAGATTAAAGGATAAGAACAAAGCAGCCTTTTCTGGAATAAATATACCATGAACCAAGGTTTAATGTAAATTTACCATGAATATACCAAGTGGTTTTTTTTGTTTGTTTAAAAATGCGGCCAATAGTGAAACTACACTTAAAACTACAAAAAGCTAAGAATGCTAAATTAATGAAATCAAGTAGATATGACAGTCATTACAAACACACTTATTTACAGTCAGAAAGGTAATAAATATTATGTTAACATATTAACATATTATGTCCTGTCACCAGCTGATCAAGACAAACAGTTTAGACCTGGTGTTCTGATTAATTCAGTATACAGTCATATAGCATGGACAAGCTTAACACATGGGTGATCTTGAAGCACGTGTATCAGGCAATAGTCACTGATGACCACGAAACCTACCACAGTGCAGCCCATGCACTCCTGTAAAAGTTAACTTCCATTATAGTGCTTCTCATTTCCAAACTCATTTGAATGCTACTTGATGGTCATTTCAAAGTATAACAATTCAAAAGCGTCCCTAATGACATCCTCATGTATCATGCATTCATATTTATCAGTTATATTACACTGGCGCTATTTTTCTCATTTACACAGTACCTCCAAAAACACATAAAACGGCAAACAGGTTCCTAATGCACCACAACAAAATAACCTGGAATTTGGATATGAAGAAATAATATTTGTGATCAGGTTCCGATGTTTCTCACATACCTGCCATCAGTCAGTGAAAGATTTAGACAGAGGAATAATTGTAACCAGTTCATTACTAGGCTGTAAAGAAGTTACAACTTGCGAGACAAGTGGTAGCTGTATTCAGAATTACTACTGCGATTGGTTCATAAATGAAACTTACAGAGCAGTTATGTCAGTTAGAGAAAAAAAAAAAAAAAAAAAAAAAAAAAAACAAAAAAAAAACCACCAACACTCCCCCGCCATGCTCCAAAATTCTGATTCAGCAGAGGAACGCACCTAATTACAATAAACTGCTGATAGTCTGCTGTTATTACAGTAAAACTTAAACTGCACTATATGGTTAAATATCTCTAGTCAAACTATTTAACGACCTGTTAATTAAAAGCTTGTCAACCTCCTCTAAATTTCTGGTAATATTCAGGAAAGGTTGTTCAGCACGTACACACATCAGCTTTGTTTTGTACTTTAGCAGAAGAAATATTGTCAATTAAAAAATCTCGAATATATGACAAACATATTTGCACTAGGAGTTATCACAGTGCACTTTCCCAGAACTCAATTATGTACACTTCCAAAAGGGTTTTGTTAACAAGGTTCATCTTGTAAATCTTCCCACTATTTAGGCCATCCACTACACTTATATCAACTTTTGATGCAAAAAGACAGTACAGCTGTGTGAGTCAGAAAGCCTTTCCATCACACAGCTGTACAATTCGTCATGCATACTGCAGATAATTATAGCAGCCACTAATTGTTATCTTTTCCACTTTCATTGAAAAAGAAAGCAAATGAGATTTTTCCATATTACTGAGTTGTGTAAAATCAAGTAGGCTTTCGACTTTTTTTTTTTTAAAAAAACTAACGTCTGCGATATCCAAATGATAAAGAGAAATAGCAGTTTACCTATAACAGTTACCTACAACAGTTTACCTACAATATGTGCCAATATAGATGTTATTTCTAATTTATTACAGTATTTAACTTGTAAGGATTCCAATTTTTCATGAATTATTTTGACACTGATGTCAGCCATAATAAATCCAGTAGATATTAAAGTGCAAAACTATATTGCTTTTAGTGTTCTACAACATTTATTTTCAAGTATTTTATCCTAGAAAACAAACCTTTCCTCAGTCAACAGAATATTTAAATGTTAGTAAAGCTACACCAAACCACCTGCAAGTGCACAGAGCTCAAAAGCCCTATACTGTTCACCCCTACCAAAGGTGAAAGGCTACGCTTGTGCTGTAGCACTAGGTAGCTTCATACAAGCAACACCCAACACCACAGTGTTAGTAGTAGTTAGTAGTAGTTAGTAGTAGTTAGTAAGCAATAAACTACTCCCAAACAGCTTTTTACCCAGTTCCGAGCAACAGCATCCCAGGAAGCAGCTTCCCGGTTTTTATAGCTCACAAGAGAACACTGCTATACTCACTATCTGGATCAAGATTTTTTACCAGGAACATGTTTATTATTAGAGCACAGAAGACACAGACAGAAAATTTCTATAAAAAGTGAGTACCTTTTCAAACAGAAGCTACTGTGTTTTTGTTTAGGTACCTGCTCCCTTTTCTAGGTTGTGCCATAAGAGGGAGAAAGAAAATATACACACACACACACACACACACACACACACATATATATATATATATCAGTGGCCTTTAAAAGTCACCTATCCTTTAGCATCGGTGAGCCAAACACCAACTCTGTAGATAAATCTCTGAGGTATTAAATGTGCTGCCATAAACACTTAAACCCATCCCTATGAGTGTCCTCTATTGCAAGATGTTTTTATACATTATCTTTTTTCCAATTTTCACTTGACTCCTCTGGCTCCTGGGGATTTGAATTACATACATGTGACTACTTAAGCCTTATGTGACATAGCCCTGCCATAAAAGCTACACCAAACCACCTGCAAGTGCACAGAGCTCAAAAGCCCTATACTGTTCACCCCTACCAAAGGTGAAAGGCTACGCTTGTGCTGTAGCACTAGGTAGCTTCATACAAGCAACACCCAACACCACAGTGTTTTCACCAAACCATACTGTTACTACACAGTGTGTTTCCAATACAGACTCATCTCAAACTTGGTCGTGATTCAGCAACTGCAAAATAAAGAAAACCTGAGATGCTGATTTTATTTTATTTGCCTCTGACAGAAAAGACTCAACACATGCACCCAAGAAAAAAAAAACATAAGGACAATAGCTTGGTTCATTCGAAAACTCTTAATTTACCTCAACTTAAAGAGAAAAATCACCTGACCCTCATATTTACATATGAATCAAACCATTAAAGTAGGGTAAAAGAGGAAAGAGAAAGCAATAATCACTTTACTTCTTTCCAAAACACTGGTCAGGTTTTCCAGGTCTGTTCCAAAAACCCATGTAAGAGGATCATGAGAAAGGAGAAGCACAAGAACCGGATTAATTTAACATAACATACTAGAGGAAAATAAAAGATTCTTACCGGCATATTGTTTTTGCTGTCAGGACAATTTTCATCCTTATCTGCTTGAATTTGCTCCTGACTTTCTGATTTTATGAAGTGTTCAACTGGGTCTGTATCTTTAAGTTCAGCTTCTGGACCTTTCATTGCATCAGTGTCATCTTTTACCGTAACAATATCAGACATCCTCATTAGAAAAGATTATTTTAAAATTCTAGAAGAAATATGGAGCCTTTAAGAGGGTAAAGAAAGAGAGACATGACTAAATAGTTTTAAATTCACCCGAAAGTACTTACACATATACACAACTACCAATAATAAACATGATTTTGCTGTCACGATTCCTGTTCTCAGTATAAGACTTTTTGATATTCTATATCACAGTGAGGGCTTATCTTCTCTTTAACCGTGTTTATCAAGAGGCTTATGCAACTGAGGTCTATACAAGAGAGAACTAAAAGCTACATTTGCTGACTTTTCTCTCTGTATTAAAAACACGGGCAAATCAAATACTCCAATCAAACTCAGTTCCAACAAAATCTAAGGATGTTTCTTCTAATTCTAAAAGGGAGAGGGAATTACAGATAAGTGTATTTTAAAAGGATTGAATGTATATAGAAGAATAACAATACACTAAAATGTGCAAGCATTTATGAATTCAATTAAACCTTTAAAATCCCAAGTAACAACTTGGCAAGTTAATGAGTGCAGGAACCATTTTCTGTACTGAAAGTAATGAAACCAGTAAAAATTAAGCACTAGTAAAGCACTGAAGAAACAACAGGCAATTGCCATAATATAAAAAAAGAAAATTCTAATAACTACAGCTTTAACCCTTGTGCAAATTTTCATATATACACACACATTCATTTATATATAAAGAAAACTTACAGTCAATACCCAGTTGCAGTTCAAGATGTGAAAATAACGACTTCCAAATTCTTTAACAATATAAAGATGAAAACTAAACTTGAATGTTTTAATCCCTTCATCAATAAAAAAGATCAAATAATATTATGAAAAAGTTGAGGTATCTGAACTATTACCTGATCTGTTCTACAGTTTGGGAATTGTGGTCTCCCACAAAAATAAAATAAAATAATCCAAAGTTTCTTTTCACAGTTTTCAACCAAGATGTCAGTTGTAATGAACCATCTGGAATCTGGCAGGAGGAGTCCCATGTCCTTATCCCTGGTGTAGAGTCCTGGGCAGAACTATATCGTCTGGAGTCAATAACATCCCTTTCAAATGCCTGAAGAAAAAAAAAAAGGCATGACAATTTTCTTGGCTGGGGAGTGTGAAGGGAGCAAACAGATGACTGGGAATAGACTTTTAATGCAAACATAGAATAAGGACCACTTGCAGCATTTGTAGTTTTTGTTTGTTTGTTTGTTTTAAACACTGCTTTTTATTCTTTCATTCTCCTTGCTTTATCTAGCAGGAGCAGCAATATCCAGCAGACTGCCAGGGTACTTCTGTATTGCAAAGTTAACAAGTAGTCATAATAAACACACTCGTGGCATTCCTCAGCAATGCTTTCTTTCTATAAGCAAAAAGGTGTCTTCCGGAGTAGCTGGAAAAGACAGTTTGAAATGAGAGGACCAGTAGGTGTGGAGGAGCAATCGGCCATTAAAGCTCACAGAACTATAGTGGTGTAACAGCAACTTCCTCTGCTAATGATTTAGAAGCAAATAAATAATCCACACTTTGAGGCAACTTGTGTTATAGGAGACATTCTTATTTTATTCAAATGAAATAGTAACTGCCCTCAAGTGAAGATTTACAAATATCTATAAAAACGTGAATGCTCTGTTTTCCCTCTTTTCCAGATTTGCTTTCCTAAGAAATAATACCACCAATCACAAGGAAGCATGTATTTGAAGTGGCAGAGAACAACATCTAATGCTAGCAAAACATAAACCATGAACATAGCAAAAATACCCTAAAGCAGAGAGCATAATTTTGTCTTTTAAATCTGTGAAAGTTTGAAATAAAAAAATAAATTATTTTTGCATTCCCACTTTTCTGAAAAAAAGGAACGGCTTATGACAAAGAGCGCAAGTGATGTGTGTTACAGCAAACACCAAGAACACCTTCTGTCTCCCCAGCTGACCTACTTAAATTTCACGTGATCGATATGGTAATTAGAATGGTTTCAAGAAAATAAAAACATGTATATTATACATATACAGGAAATAAAATATATAATAAAAAATGAACAACAAATTTGTGTGAAATGAAAGAAGCCATGAAGACATTTACTGAGCAGGTATACACAAAGTTTTGATCGATGTAGGTAACAAACTTAACACCAAATTATTCGCTTTTAAAATGAAGAGTTGCTCAGCATGTTGAGACAATGGATGGACAAGTCCTACAAGATCCTTAATGTCGCCAAAAAGTTGCAACTTAGCTTAAAAGAATTTGAAAGCATTTAAGCATTTGGTAGTATGAAGTCACTAGAAAAACAAATAAATATAAAAATTATAAAGTTCGGACAGCGCCCAAACATTTATCAGTTTGTTGTTTTGTTAATGTAGTAAGATTTTTAATATAAAATAGCAACAACAAAATATATACACACGCACCCCCCACTCCTAGTGGCCAAAACTGAAGATGGGAAGTAGAGAGAGAGGGAAGAGGCAACAAAACACACAGTAAAAAAAACCCCACAAATCACTCTCACCCACAACAAGCAACTTTCCAATAGCTTATATTCAGTGCCCTTTTTAAAAAAAAAAAAAAAAAGTTTTTTAAAGAAGATGACAACTGTTAAAACTGCACCAAGCAGCATTTCAGAGGATATATGTACAGAAGCAATACAAAACTGCATGCAAAAGAAAATTGCAGAAGAAATTTGAGTAGGAAGAACTCGAAATTATTCTTTCAGTGTGTGGCAGCTGACACCTTCTTAAGTGCTAGAAGATCTTTATTCATCCGAAATGACTGCAGATCTGAAACATACACCTCAAGTATCACACTGATCTACTCCCTCCCTCAGGAGACCAAGACCACAGTGACATGAAACAGCAGCATATTGGGATTAAGTCTAAAACAACAAGTTTTTTGAACCGAACAAATACACAACTTGGCAAGAGAAGAAAGATACTACAGGCATAAGAAACCTCATAGTGAAAAAGTTGGGGAAAAAAGCAAGGAGAGTAGGCTGTACTTCAATACCATAGTATTGAAGTTTTTCAAAACACCCTATTCATTCAATCATTGAGGAGGGGAGTAGAGATGAAATAACAAATTGGAAATAAGACAGGTACAGAACTGCAGCACTGTTTGCTTAACTTCTCAAGAAGATCCAGATGATGGTTTAAGGAGCTGGCATCACACTTTATTGTCAGCAAGACTTGAAAACACTATTTGATTTTGATTGCTGATATTTGTATTGTATTCAGAGGAACCTCTTCAAAAGCTCAGGCCAAAGACACAGGGAAAAAACATGCAAGTCCAGTTGCACAACCTTAAGGACCTTAACATAAACAAAAACCTTTAAAAATGTTATTTAATTGCTATTCCATATACAAATCATAAATGCACATATATTCAGTAAATCTTGAAGACTTAATTCAAATTCACGTTTTTCCACTCTATAAAACATTCGCGTTTTTTCCATTCTATAAAATTGCTGCACAGAAACAATATCCTTTTGTTTTAGAAAATAACACCTATAAAACAGCCTCAAAACTATGAGCAATTTTTTTTGTGTACAGACTTGAAGGCTGGGCATGTTGTGCTGCAGAAGGTACAATGAATGTGACAAAAAAATCAAAGAAGAGCTGTGCAGTTTCAATTCATTTGAAATGATGAATAATGTGTTTTGGATTTTTCTTTTTCTGAATCAATTGGAATTACCACATGCACACCCACGGGTAAATGACACACTCTGAGCTCCTGATCAACAGTGAAATATATAAAAAGGTGCATCTTTGCTACCTGAAAAATATGTTCTGAGTAGTAAGGACCACAGATTATTGTAATACAACCTTGTGGTGTAAGGGCCACAATGAGTTATTAGTACTCAGAAAATGTTCTATGCTTCAAGCTTCTAATTGAGACAATTTTCATAGCTGAGACGATTCTTGTTTCCTAGCTTACACGGAGTGAGCAAAGCATGTGCTAAATATCCTTCAAAACTCAACACTGGCCAAAGAGTAGATAGCAATGTGGTTTAGCTGATTTAAATACAGGGGACATCATATGTCCACTCTAGAATTACCCCAAAAGTTTTAAAGTTCGGATTTGAACACTGAAGGGTAGAACATTAGAAACATGAGGTCAGCTGCATTGATTACTTGCCTGAATTAAATGAATAGCAATGCTTCTCACCAAAAATGGCTTCCACTTTCAGCATCCTTTATTGATGATCACTACAGACTCCTGCTTTAACAGGCAGGAAGTACTTGCACTTTTCAGATAGAAGCTCATAAAAACTGTCAATATTGTTCTCTTACTGCTTTATTTTCTACAATTCAAAAGCAAAGAGATAAAAAACAGGAAAACAAAGCAAAGTTACTAGTACATATTTTGATAGAGAAGCCTCAGAAATCGTGATGCATGGAAAACTGGATGCTTTGTCTCAATTTCCAAGTTGAAAACTGTCATTTGCAAATCCAGTAAACTGACTTGTAACGAGTGAGGATATTTCTGGGAATAGCATCTACTAAACTTAATCCAATTTCTGTAATAAGCATCAAGACTTACATCTCCCTCTTGTTGGGCAATGCAGATGAGAAGCTCTATTTTGCCTATGACAAAAGAAATCCTTTTTCTTTTAAAGAGAACACAAAAGAAAACAGAAGGTGATTTATCTTTCTTTGTTAAAGCTATTATTGATATCATTGTTCTGGAAGAGATCTCAGGAACAGATGTCCAAAGAACTGGTATCAATCAAATTCAGGACTGGATTAGATTGGATTAGAAAGGTGGGGGTGGAAATCTGTATTCAACACAAAGTAGAAACTGTCAATAAGGTGGTAAGATGAGAGCATCTTTCTGAGAGAGACTTCTGTTCACCAGATATTTGAACAGATTCTATCACAGGTCTAAACAGCATCCGTTGCTCTGGGCAGTATTTATCTACCTTTTACTGAACTTGTAATTGATTCACCCCCTAACCTGACAGTCAAAAGTCAGTTTCTGTACTAAGGCCCCTAAATCAATCTTGTTTCAAGTTGCTCAGGAATTACCATACCGTATGCAGCAGTTTATGTCATCTCAGCCCCCTTCAGATTTCATCTTCATACTTGTAAAGCTGTATTTATCTTTAAAAATTACTTTACTGGCCTAGCAGCAAAGGCTTAAAAGCGCTCAATTATCTATCTCTATTCTTCCTGAAATAAAAACCCTCAAGTTTACATGAAACTTTGGACAAAGCCAAACCTGTTGCACTGTGTATCTATGCTACAAAAAGCATAAAAAATATTTAATCTATTAAAATTTGAAGCCAGAAGCAGCAGTGTTGTATACAAGTATGACAAGAGCCACCCTCACCATCAGATTCAGTAAACAGGCTGGGCATGTGCTCAAAACTTAGTTTTGAAATCGCTGAAGGCAGATTACATCAGTGTAATAGAAGATATTGCCAATTATACATTTTTCTTGTCACCTTGCTTTTACTATAAACTTTTTTTTTTCTCCTGACTTTTCTATCTCTGCTAGCTCTTAGCTAGACAACTGACTTTCCTCTTAGAAGAAAGACCCTTCCACACACATACACAAGCCCACGGAAGTCACACTCGTAGGTTATTAGTTTCTAACTAGTAGAAACCAACCAATGCTGGATTTCACCAATTTCTATGCTCTTTGATTCATAGATGCATACGCACACACAAACACAAAGTTCTTTATTAGGATGAAAGGGGAAAGTGTCTACGCCCTAAGCAGAAAGGTATAGCTCTGAATTATCTCATTCTTACATTAATAAAAACTAAGAAGAATTATTGCATTCAGCTTCCTATTTCTTGAGGATCAACAAACTCTGACAAACTCAAAGGGGAGGAAGAAACAGTCAATTTTGGCAAGTAAGATTCATGTCACCAGCAGCTGTATTGAAGAACTCACTGCTATCAAAAAGTTTTCCATATCCTCATTCATTTACTACTCTCTTTAGCCTGTAAGACTTTAAGTCTGTGAAGACTTTTTAAGCCACTACACGGTTTTTATTAACTTGTAGCAGCTGATCTTATGATCGTTCATTTAACAGAAAATAAAAAGTAACTTTCCAATTTACAAGGCATAAAA